GTGGAAACTGAGGCCTCGCCCAAGGTCGCACAGGACGTCCATGGCGAGCCTGGAAATCGAGCCCCGGATCTCTGATGCCCCAGTCCCTGGAGGTCACCTCTATTCAGAAGATCGAGGACCGAGGCAGAACGCTCTAACCCATAAGCCTGAACCTCCAGGGCCCTGGGAATGAGATCGTACGCTGAACACAGGCGACCGGGACGCAGCCCAAAGGCTGCGCCTCTGAAATGGCGACGCCATAATCAGAGCCACATTGAATTCAGAGGTCATGGGTCACTCACCACTGCCTGGGACGGATCGCAATGCTCACGGAGACCCCAACTTCTGACAAAAACTATAACGTTACCCGCCTCTCCAAAAGGCTCCAGCGGAAGCACGTGGGCTACTTCCGGGAGGGAAGTCCCGCCTCTCCTTTGATTCAAACTCGCTTCCGGAACTAAATACCAACGAGACGGCGCCGGGAACGCGGCGATCCTAGAGAGGGAGCGGCCGGCGCCGGGCGAAGAGGAAGGCGACTTGCCAGTGCTAGAGGGGACGCCAAAGTACCATAGAGGCTTGGGCGGGGTGCAGAGCGTCTGCAGCCCGCTTACAATTCAAGTGCCTTGGGATGTCACAGAGCCGCTTCAGTTTATTGGTTCTGTAGGAAGAGGCGTGGCGACAGGTATCAGTGAACCTCATCCCAGTTCCGGACAGCCGACTCCTGAGCGTAAATCAGGCGTGGAGAAGGAAGAACGCCCCCAAACAGCGATTCTGTTTTTGTTTCGCGTTAAAATCCCTGGAACGTTTTTAAACGTCCCAGTGCCCAGGACTCACCTCATTTCAATTAAATCAGAATCTCTGGGAGTAGGACCCAGGCATCAATACAATTTAAAATTCCCCCCCAGGTGATTCGTATGTACAGCCAAATTTGAGAAGCAGTGCTCCATGGGACGTTGTGCAATTACTACTGTGTGTAGGTCACACTAAGCCCCTTCTGGTGTTGCAACGATAAGCGAGATAGGCTTCCTGCTCGTAGAAAGCCAAGACGTGTAAAATATGTTTTCTTCAACAGTCAGAGGTCCTGAGCCACAAAGAGATTAATAAAAGCAATTTCGGCTGCCACCGGGGCTAATCTTGGGTGAGGGAGAAGGAGGGTACTGGTGAACTTTTCAACTTTCAAGACTTAATGTGTTCTTCAAACTGCTCCATTCACTCATTCCCCACTAAAAAGAAGGAAACAACACTCAGTCCCTTGATTTGTCACACAATTTCCTAGTAAAATAAATTTACAAGATGTAAATTGATGACGCAAGGGCACATTGCTCATTGGAAAAGGTGGGCTAGACATTTTATATGTGTGGTCATCATATGCTTCCCTAATTGTCCAAGACCATCCTGATTTTAAACAATCGACCTTTCTGCTTTGAAGACTCATCTTTGTCAAACCTTGTGCCCTGATTTTTAAAGATTGAGGTATAATATTCATAAAGTGCATAAAATACACGAATCTCAAGCTTAATTAAATATATATGTGTATATATACATTTGTATAACCACCACCCAGATCAAGATATAAAATACTTCCTGCACCCCAAAAAGTTATCTTGTGTTCCTTCCCCATCAATACTCCCTCTTGAAGTTAACCACTATTCTGACCTCTATCACCATCAATTCGTTTTCCTTGTTCTTGAACTTCATGTAAATGGAATTACACATTATTTTCTATTTTGTGCCTGACGTCTTTAGCTCAATGTACCTGTAAGATTTCCTCCATATTGTTGTGTGCATCTGTTATTCCTTCTGTTTTATTGCTGTCTAGTGTTTGATTGTATGAGCATGCCACAATTCATTTATCCATTCTCCTGTTGATGGATGTTTAGATTCTCATGCAATACTGCTGCTATGATACTCTTGTACAGATGGACATATCTTGCCTTGGTTTTCGCTTTTGAAAATATAGTCAACATTGGCCAGGTGTGGTGGCTCACGCCTGTAATCCCAGCACTTTGGAAGGCTGAGGCGGGTGGATGACCTGAGGTCAGGAGTTCAAGACCAGCCTGGCCAACATGGTAAAACCCCATCTCTACTAAAAATACCAAAAAAAAGTAGCCCAGTGTGGTGGCGGGTGTTTGTAATACCAGCTACTCAGGAGGCTAAGCAGCAGGCTAAGGCAGGAGAATCGCTTGAACCCGGGAGGCAGAGTTTACAGTGAGCCAAGATCACACCATTGCACTCCAGCCTGGGCAACAAGAGTGAAACTCTGATCCCCCTGCAAAAAAGAAAAAATATAGGCAACATTATGGAAAGTTAAGAAACTGCGTCGGAAAAGGAGATGGGTTCTTACAAGAGGAATCTTGCAATATTTACTGGGCCTTACGAAAGGTTACATACTGTATGATTTCATTTAAGTAACATTCTCAAAATCACAAAATTATAGAGATGGAGAAGAGATTTCTGATTGCCTAGTGTTAGGGTTGATGGGGAGATAGAAGTATACCTATAAAGGGTAGCACAAGAGAGATCTTTGTGTTGCTGGATAATTCTGTATCCTGATTGTGGTGGTGGTTATAAGAATCTACACAGGTGATAAGATGTCATAGAACTGGCTGGGCGCGGTGGCTCATGCCTGTAATCTCAGCACTTTGGGAGGCCGAGGCGGGCGAATCACGAGGGTAGGAGTTCGAGACCACCTGGCCAATATGGTGAAACGCTATCTCTACTAAAAATACAAAAAATTAGATATTTGGTGTGAGCTCTGGTGTGGAAGTTGGGACACTTGGATTCTAGATAGGGCCAGGCCATTTGTCCTATAACTTTAGTCAAGGGACTTCAACCAACAGGCTAGTAAACAATGCTCTTCAGGCAGCCCAAGCCTCTTGAAGTGGGGGTGGGGTGGGGTGGAAGTAGAACTATGACACACACACATTAGACCAATGTTAATTACCTGGCTTTGATATTGAATATAGTTATGTGAGATTTAACCTTTAGTGGAAGTTGCTAAAGAGTGTACAGGACCTCTCTGTACTATTAATGCAATTTCCTGGGAACCTATAATTATTTCTAAATAAAAAGTTTTAAAAATCACTACAAAAAGGAAAACAAATCACTGTCCGCACTATTACTGTTTCCCATCACTTATTCTCACCTCCATGGCTGACATTGGGGTCCAAGCCACCAGCATCCTGCACCAGGGTCACTGAGTTTGTCTCCTGACTGCTCTCCCCACTTCTATCCATGCTGCTTCACTTTATTCTCAAAACAGCACCCGTCCAGAGTGTATCTGCCCAAGACTGGTGAGTTCTTCCACATCTCTCTCTGGCTTACTGGTTTTTCGTTTAAATTCATTTCTCTTGTCCTACTGTCATTAAATATTGAAAAGAGCAAAATACACTGGGTATGGTGGCTCATGCCTATAATCCCAGTCAGGTTTCAAGTATTACTAGAGCCAGCCGGCAACCATTAATATTGGACTATTTAATCACTAGTACCCAAACGCAGATGCACAAAAAGATCTCTCTTTCAGATCATCCCGGGCAAGACCTCCAAGTTCCTGTCATATTTCTGTTAATTAATTAGTTATTTCCTTCAATATGTATTTATCAAGTACTTACTATGAGCCAGGCATTTCTGCTAGGCTCTGGGCATACAGCCATGAGCATGGTAGATAAAATCCCTGCCCTCATGGAGCTTAAAGCCTAGTGAGAGAGACAGATGATAAGGAAATGAATAAGGTAATTTTAGATTTAGTATTATGAGGACCATAAATACAGCTGAAATGATGGAGAGGAATTGAAGGTCATGGAAAACCTGAGGGAATGAAATTTCAGCTGAGTCCAGAAGAGTGAGAGGGAGCCAGTCTTACAAAGAGTAGAAGGAAAACCAGTCCTGAGTCTGAAAAGGGATGGATTTATTTAAGGAATAGGAAGGAGGCCACTGTGGCCCAGTGGTGGGGCTTCGGGGAGGAGGACTGGGAGGTCGCAAGCTTCGTAGTAGTAAGAGTGTCCCTTGCACCCATTCTCCAAAAGCAGTGCCTTTCTTAGATCATAAAACACACAGAGAAAGTGAAGACTTTTTTTGAGATGGAGTCTCTGTCACCCAGGCTGGAGTGCAGTGTGACTTGCTGCAACCTCTGCCTCCCAGGTTCAAGTGATTCTTGTGCCTCAGCCTCCCAAATAGCTGAGATTACAGGCATGCGCCACCACGCCTGGCTAATTTTTGTATTTTTAGTAGAGACAGGGTTTCACCCTGTTGGCCATGCTGTTCTTGAACTCCTGGCTTCAAGTGATCCACTTGGCCTCGGCCGCCCAAAGTGCTGGAATTACTGGCATGAGCCACCGAGCCCAGGCTTGTTTTGTTTTTTTCTTAGCAAAATGTGCTAAAATACTCAATTTTTTCTTAGTATAAAAATGTGTTCAGAGCCTAATGTGTACCTGTCACTTCAACTCAAAATAGAACTCAGGAGTTTTGTATTTTCCAGGCTCCATCCAGTGATCTGTCAGCTTGTCCCATCACTTTTGCCCTCTCTGCCCCTCCCCCTCCAAATCTCTCAGTCAGCTGTGAGCCCCGAGACACATCCCCTGTGTTGGCAGCTGCCCCACTCATCCCCTCCTTAGCCCAGCCTTAAGCAGCTGCTTTTGTCTGAAGACGACGGAAAGGGCCTATGTAAGGAACGTGGCAGGGGCGGGTGTGAAGGGAGCACAGGAGGCCTCGCATGGGCTCTGGCTGAGCAGCAGAGGCCAGGGCCATGCTCCAAATGGGTCCTGAAGATGGTTGTCAAGATCCCTATGGTTAGGAGAGTCCATTGGGAAGAAAGGTGACCACAGGACGGATGCTGCCAGGCTCAGGGCGGGAGGGACGTGCCGTGATTGAAAGGTGCCACCTGTCAGATCTTCCACAGGAAATCCGAGCCTCCCAGTCTAAGGGAAAGTGTTGTACCAACAGGCTAGTAAACAATGCTCTTCAGGCAGCCCAAGCCTCTTGAAGTGGGGGTGGGGTGGGGTGGAAGAGGGAGAGGAAGGGGGGAGGCGGGACCAAAGAGCTGGGGGCTAGAGGCCACTGGGGCTTAAAGGCAGCCTGGGAGTGAGGCCGCTCAGCTGGAGGAAAGACAGTTCCTGAGCCACAGGCAGAAGCCCCACAGGTAGGAGAAGCCCTGGGCCTCTTCCTAAGGGCCCCTCCCCATCTGCCAATTCTCACTCCCACCTTCCAAGGGCCAGAGCCTCCCAGGAGGGCCCCCCAGCTGGAGAAATCCAGGCTCCTTTCTAATTCTCTCCACCACGATACCTACTGTCTTTAGATGCCAGGGGTCTCAGCCCTGCACCAGAGCACCTACAGAGCAGACAGCCAGTGGCCATCCATGAGGAGGCCTCAGAGCAGGGGAGGGGACCTTGGGAGTCTCGAGAGTCAAGCTGGGTTGGGGGGTAGACTGTCTAAGCCAAGCCTGTCCAGCCCATGGGCCACCTGTGGCCCAGGATGCCTTTGAATGTGGCCCAATATGAATTCATAAACTTTCTTAAAACATTATGAGATTTTTGGGGTTTGTTTTGTTTTGTTTTGTTTTTGCAATTTTTGTTTTAGCTCATCCGCTATCGTTAGTGTTAACGTATTTTACATGTGGCCCAAGACACTTCTACTTCTACCAGTGTGGTCTAGGGAAGCCCAAAGATTGGGCACTCCTAGGCTAAGCAATTGAGATCGGCCTCTCCAAGGGAGGGCCCCTGGCTGAGTGGGGAAGGTGGAAGCTTTAGGACAACAAGATGACAGAGGAGGCTGCAGTGGGTGGTGGACACATCACAGAACATCCAGCGTTTATACTACTGGGGGCTTGGTTCTTGGGCTCCTGGATCCCTTTCCTCCTGGTCTGCCAGAAGAAACAGGAAGAGAGAGGGAGGGGAGATATCTGCACGGCTGCTTTGGACACAAAACAGGGATGGTCTGGAGGCTTCCTGGGGAAGGAAGGAGGAAGGAAAGTAGAGAAAGATAGGAGGGGCGGAGAAACTTTCACGAAGGGCCTACTGTGCACCTAGAAGAAAGAGAGAGAAACTCCTCGGTTGAATCTGACTGCCCTTCCCAACTGGTGGGGTGCCCCAACTCTGGGCCGGGGCCTTTGGAGGGACACTGGGCTGAGGAGCTAGTGGGAGCATATATTTGGTGTGAGCTCTGGTGTGGAAGTTGGGACACTTGGATTCTAGATAGGGCCAGGCCATTTGTCCTATAACTTTAGTCAAGGGACTTCAACTCCCTGAGCATCAAATTCCCATTGGTTCCCTAATGGGCCCAATAACCTATTCTGAAGGGTCACAGCAAGAAACGACCAAGAGAAAGCAGGGCCTCCGCAGTGTAAGCTGTAAACTACAGTAGGGCTATGAATGCTGAGGGTGGGTGGTGGCGTCCTGGTTTCTTAGCACTCTGAGCATATTCACTGCTTTTCTATTTGTGACAAGCCTGGAGGGTGGAAAGCTGAGGTGATAAACATGCAGGATAGCCGAGGTGTGTGTGCGTGTGTGTGCATCTACCCTTCCCCTCTACCACTCTAAGTATGCAGCATGTAGACAGAAGGAAAGATGGTTAGAGCTGCCAGGCTCAGTGGCTCATGCCTGTAAACCCAGCACTTTAGGAGGCCGAGGCAGGAGGATCGCTTGAGGCCAAGAGTTTGAGACCAGCCTGGGAAACATAGTGAGACCCCATCTCTATTAAAAAAAAAAAAAAAAAAATTAGCCAGGTGTGATGACGCACACCTGTGGTCACAGCTCCTCGGGAGGCTGAGGTGGGAAGATCCCTTGAGTCCAGGAGGTCAAGATCACAAGGAGCTATGATTGAACCACTGCACTCCAGCCTGGGCAGCAGAGTAAGACCCTGTCTCTTTAAAAAAAAAAAAAGATGACTGGAGCACTTAGCTATGTCTTAGCCAAACAGTGTCACACTTTGAGGTATAAAAAGGGTTTGTTATCATCCTACTGGCATTCAGTTCTCTCTGCCTTGACTCACTGATAAATGCCCTCAAGGCTGGGTCAGGACCTTGCCCTGGCCCAGGGCTGGTCACAGCCAACCTACACCATACGAGCTGATGGGTGCTGAGTACTCATTCATGCCAAGCATGCCTCCGAATCCTGTTTTGTTTTGTTTTTCTAAGAGCTAAGGTCTCACTTTGTTGCCCAGGCTGGAGTGTAGTGGCTACTCACAGGCATCATTATAGTGCACTGCAGGCTTGACCTTCTGGCCTCAGGTGATCCTCCTGCCTCAGCCTCCCAATTAGCTGGACCACAGGCATGTGCCACCACGCCTGGCTCCAAATATTTTCTAAGCATGGGCTGCCTTAACCCTCCAAATATTTTCTAAGCATGGGCTTCCTTAATCCTCCACCATCCCTATGGGATGGGACCTATTGTTATCTGCAGAAATCAAAACACAGAGAGGATGGATAGCTTGCTCAAGGTTAACACAATTAGTAACCCATGACAGCTGGGATCCCATCACAGGAAGACACAAGAATCAGTGATTTTCACCACTAGTCCATGTCTCCTTCCAAACAAGAGCAGACAGCAGGAGGGGAAGGGATTGTGTTAGACCAGCATTTGCCATGCTTTCTTCTGCTGCTAGAGACGGCAGTAGATGCTCCTCAGAAAAACAAAGCAAAAAGAAAAGAAAACAAAGGGAGGGGGGAAAAAAGTCATGGTCAAATAGGTTCGGAGAAAAGTGAGTTAAATGAAGTATAAGCAAGGTTAAGCTTTCTTGACTATCTGGTTTCTAAAATCTACTTAATTGCTAATGAAGTTGTGTATCTGTTTTTGTTTTGTTTTGTTTAATTTTATTTTCTTTACTATAGAGACAGAATTTCATATGTTGCCTAGGCTGGACTTGAACTCTTGGGCTCAAGTACTCCTCCCACCTCAGCGGCCCAAAATGCTAAGATTACAGGCGTGAGCTACTGCGCCTGGCTGAAACTGTATATCTCTAAGAGGGTGAAGAGTAGGCTTTTTTGTGGAGCAACCATAGCCAGAGAATACTCTTTCTCCCAACCCCACAGAAAACCCTCTCCATGTCACGGGAGACCCTAGTTTTCCACAGAACACAGTGTGGAGAACCTGACCCAAATGAACCTCATCATTGTCAGTCGAAACTGAGGCCCAGAGAGGGAAAAGGACTTGCTCAGGTCTCAGTCGGGACTGGAAGATGCAGGTCACAGCCAGTTCCACAACTTCCCGGCTCCCAGCATATCTGCTGATGTATATCCATCACCCTGGCTCAACTTCCCTCTTTTTTTTTTGAGACAGAGTCTTGCTCTGTCACCCAGGCAGGAATACGGTGACACGAACTCGGCTCACTGCAACCTCCGCCTCCCAAGTTCAAGCAATTCTCCTGCCTCAGCCTCCCAAGTAGCTGAGATTACAGGCATCCGCCACCACACCCAGCTAATTTTTGTATGTTTAGTAGAGATGGGGTTTCACCATACTGGCCAGGCTGGTCTCGAACTCCTGACCTTGCGATCTGCCCACCGCGGGCTCCCAAAGTGCTGGGATTACAGGCGTGAGCCACCATGCCTGGTGTCATCTTCTCTCTTACTTTAAGACATTGCTGGAGCCACTGAACCAGGAAGGGGGCTCTAGCAGGAATCATAGGACAGTGTGAGCATCTTTACAAATCCCAGCCTACTTTTAGGAAACAGTGAGGGCATCGAATTCAGGAACCCCAGGACTCTAGGTAAGACCCGAGTGGGTGGTGGGAACAGAGCCCTGTCCGTCTTCTTGCCTCCTGTCCTCTGCCCATTTACCCAGGTGCCCTCTGTACTATCACTGAGAAAGATGGTACTGCCAAGGGCAAGGGGTATTTTTAGTGCGTGACAGGAGTGCCCACTTTTCTTACTGCCTGAGTCATGCCCTGAGCCCTATTTGGGGATTGTTTTCTTTGTAACTACACCCCCCAAGAAGGGCAGGGGCATGAAGGAGCTAACCCGAGGCCCCTACACACCTGTTTTGTAGATCCTCCAGTATATACAGTACTTAAATAGGCAACTCCGAGTTAAGATGTCATAATCTACCCCCATGCTTTCTGGGGGCAGCAGGAGGGTCAGGTTGCCAAGCAGAGGCCAGGGAGAGTACAGTCTCATTCTTCACTCAAGGAAACACTTCTTTGCCCAGGCCCACCTTTTCCGAAAACCATAGGCTGGCAGAGCTGGCAAGGCTCCAGAGACCAGTTGGCCCTGGGGTTCCTAAATTTCAGCCATTTTTATACACCACCTTTATGATTTTGCTACCTCTGCACCACCTATATTCCAGTTTCCTGAATGACTTCCTTTGAATCAACTTATTTTTAAATTCAGTAAATGTATTTTTAAAAGACACTGTATCACTGTTGGAAATGGAAACTCAATATCACTTACCAGAAATAGAAAGTAACTGTAAAAATAAATACAATGGAAACAAATTGGTGTTATTCAATTCTATCTAGATACTTCTGCTTGCCTAGGCTCTCAGGGGAGAGTAGCGGTTGTTCCACAGGTGTTCTAGGATGCCAGTATAAAATTGTGACCAGGCGCTGCTCATGCCTGTAATCCCAGAACCTTGGGAGGCCGAGGCAGGTGGATCGCTTGAGCTCAGGAGTTTGAGACCAGCCTGGGCAACATGGCAAAACCCCGTCTCTACAAAAAAATACAAAAATTAGCCAAGTGTGGTGGTGAGCACCTGTAGTCCCAGCTACTCGGGAGGCTGAGGTTGGAGGATCACCTGACCCCAGGAGGCAGAGGTTGCAGTGACCTGAGATTGCACTCTGGCACTCCAGCCTGGATGACAGAGCAAGACCCCCTCTCAAAAAATAAATAATACAATAAAATTGTGACCAGCTCAGTGGCTTAATCAAAAAGAGGCAACATGACTGAAAAGGCATTATGTGATTCAATGTTCTTTAAAGCCAAAGCCAGAACCTACAGAGGGGCATCAGGTGAACACCATCTAACATCATGTCAATGTAGCCCAACCATCCCAGCTTTGGGGAAGCACTTCTCTGTCCTTCATGCCTGGGTCTCATGTCCAAGTAGGAGCCAAGACTGAACCACGGACTTCCTGACTCCCAGACCAGAGCTCTCTGAGGATGGGGTCTTCACCTCATGCTGGGATGGGACATGACAAGGTCTGCTTGTCTTCTCTTTCCAGAGATGGAGCAGAAGGAAGGGAAGCCCTCTGAGGATGGGACCACCGTCTCCCCAGTTGCAGACAACCCTGAGATGTCAGAAGGTGGAGCCCCTGCAGAGGAGACCAAAGGCACAGCTGGAAAGGCCATCAATGAGGGGCCTCCTGCCGAGGCAGGAAAGCAGGAAAAGCCACCAGCCGAGGATGGCATTTCAGTGGAACTCCAGGGGGAAGCAAATGGATTAGATGAGGTCAAGGTGGAATCTCAGGGGGAGGCTGGTGGGAAAGAGGACGCTGAGGCTGAACTTAAAGAGGAGGATGGTGAGAAGGAAGAGACCACTGCGGCTTCTCAGGAGATGACTGGCAGGAAAGAAGAGACCAAATCTGAACCCAAGGAGGCTGAGGAAAAGGAGGAGAGCATGCTGGCCTCTGAGAAGCAGAAGGCGGAGGAGAAAGAAGCCAAACCTGAATCTGGGCAGAAAGCCGATGCCAACGACAGAGACAAGCCTGAACCTAAGGCAACTGTTGAGGAGGAGGAGGCCAAGACAGCCTCTCAGGAGGAGACAGGCCAGAGGGAGAAGCGCAGCACTGAACCCAAGGAGAAGGCTACTGACGAAGAGGCCAAGGCTGAATCGCAGAAGAAGGCTGTTGTGGAGGATGAGGCTAAGGCTGAACCCAAGGAGTCCGATGGGAAAGAGGAGGTCAAACATGATACAACAAAGGAGGCTGATGCAAAGGAGGAGGTGGAGGAGGCGGAGGAGGCAGTGAGTGAGGCGGGAAAGGGGGAAGGAGGCTCTGTCATCTCCTGCTCCTGGAAACAAGGCCCCTCTGCTTTAGTCCGTTGGCAAAGTCTGGTCTTCCTCCCGATGATTTCCAGAGCCCAGGGTGGGGGAGGGGGGACAAGGGGTGCAGCACCGTAGTCCCAGACTGCCTTTCAGATCTTTCTGAAGTCCTCGAAGCCAGGGCAGGTGCTGTGTGACCATGAGCTCACACAGATCATGCTCATTCCAGGAGCCAGGCAGTCCCAGTGAAGAGCAGGAGCAGGACGTGGAAAAAGAGCCAGAAGGAGGGGCAGGGGTGCTTCCCAGCTCCCCAGAGGAGTGGCCTGAGAGCCCCACGGGGGAGGGGCACAACCTCAGCACAGGTGAGTGAGAACCCAGAGCCCACAGGATCCTGCAGGGGCCACCTGCGGGAGGGAGCAAGGAACATGTCATGGATAGCCCCAGCTTCCCTCCCTCCTTTCCCTCTCCTCCAGATGGGTTGGGTCCAGACTCCGTAGCTTCTGGAGAGACCAGTCCTTCAGCCAGGTAATGTCAAACTCTGGGGCTCCAGCTCCAATTCCCCCTACCTCCTGCTTCCCTCAGCGTCCACCATCACCTCAGTCTGGGCTCCCCCAGCACCTGATTTCAAGATATTCCAGGATTCCTGGCATTCAGCTTCCTATCTCAGGGCAGAGCCCAGGAAACCAAAGAAGCCAGGGGCATAGCGGGGCACAGTGGCTCATGCCTGTAATCCTGGCACTTTTGGAGGCCGAGGTGGGCAGATCACCTGAGGTCAGGAGTTCGAGACCAGCCTGGCCAACATGGCGAAACCCTGTCTCTACAAAAAATACAAAAATTAGCTGAGCATGGTGCTGGGTGCCTGTAATCCCATCTACTTGGAAGGCTGAGGCAGGATAACTACTTGAACCCGGGAGGCGGAGGTTGCAGTGAGCCGAGATTGTGCCATTGCACTCCAGCCTGGGTGACAAAGCAAGACACTCTAAAAAAAAAACCAAAAAAACCAGAGGCAGAAAGGAACACGAAGGATACCTGGTCCACTTCCCATGTCATGGCTGAAGTCTGCCCTGCGGCATCCCTGACACTTCACAGGAGCTCCTTATCTTTCAGCTGAACATGTTTCCATGGTGCCAGTCACCCAAAAAGCATGATCAGAAAGCCTGAGTTGAGACAATGGTTCTGCCATATACCAGCTGTGTGACCTTGGCCACATCACTGAACCTCTTCTTATCTGTGAAGTGGGCGTACCAATTGTATCTACCTCGTAGGATTATTCTCAGGCTTCAATGAGTAACAAGTGCAAAGCACTTTAGCCCAGTGACTGGTCCGTGGCGGGTGCTGGATAAAATAAGAGGCTTACGCTTGCCATTGCACAACTTCAGTCATTAGAGGAATTATATGGAGCTGAAATCTGCCTCCTTGTCCTCCCTTTTTTTGGGGGGGGGGATGGAGTCTTGTTCTGTCACCCAGGCTGGAGTGCAATGGCGCGATCTTGGCTCACTACAAACTCTGCCTCTTGGGTTCAAGCAATTCTCCTGCCTCAGCGTCCCGAGTAGCTAGGATTACATGCGCGTGCCACCACGCCCAGCTAATTTTTGTATTTTTACTAGAGGCGGGGTTTCACCATGTTGGCCAGGTTGGTTTTGAACTCCTGACCTCAGGTGATCCACCCACCTTGGCCTCTCAAAGTGCTGGGATTACAGGCATGAGCCACCGCGCCCGGCCTCCTTGTCCCTTTCTTAGGGAAAGATGACCAGTGAATAGTCACTGAGCAGGCACCGCTGGATGCTTTACATTCACCTTCTTACATAGGACGGGTAGGTATTCTTGTCCTCATTTTACAGATGAGGAAGCTAAGGCTCAAACGATGTGACAGTCCCAAGATCACACAGCAAATAAGAGGCAAAGCTGTGCCGAGTGCAGTGGCTCTCACCTGTAATCTCAGTACTTTAGGAGGCTGAGGTGGGCAGATCACCTGAGCTCAGGAGTTCGAGACCAGCCTGGCCAACATGGCACAATCCCATCTCTACTAATAATACAAAAATTAGCTGGGTGTGGTGGCAGGCGCCTGTAATACCAGCTACTTGGGAGGCTGAGGCAGGAGAATTGCTTGAATCTGGGAGGCGGAGGTTGCAGTGAGCCAAGATCATGCCACTGCACTCCAGCCTGGGCGACAAGAGCAAAGCTCTGTCTCAAAAAAAAAAAAAAAAAAAAAGCAAAGCCAGGTTCCAAACTCAGGTCAGACCTCAGAGGTGTCCTAGCTCTACCCACATGTCCTCACCAGACCACATACTCCTCCAGGTTAGACCGAGACTCACGATTCCTTCTCAATGTCCTTCCAGTGCTGGGCACAGAAAAAATGTGTGTAACAACTGCACACACCCCTTTAGACTGCAGTGCTGCCCACCCTCCAGCCCCACAGCCCCCTCCCTGTGTCCTACAGTGCTGGTCCCAGCCTCTCTCATGCTTCTTTGGACTTCTCCATATAGTGAGTCTTCACCCAGCGATGTGCCCCAGAGTCCCCCTGAGTCCCCTCCCTCAGGGGAGAAGAAGGAGAAGGCACCAGAGCGCAGGGTATCAGCCCCGGCTCGGCCCCGGGGGCCCCGAGCACAGAACCGCAAAGCCATCGTGGACAAGTTTGGCGGGTAGGACACGGGCCAGGGGCTAAGCTGGGTTTTCCCGTACGTAGGAGCCCTGGGTTGGTGGGAGGGTGGCCTCAGGGGCTATGAGAACAGCCCAGACCAAGGCAGGAGGAATGACATCTGAGAGCTGGGGATCCTCCCAGTAGGGCCCTTCATGGCCTCCTGCCTCTCTGGCTTGGCCTTGCACCCCTCTCCCCTCACAGGGCAGCGTCCGGCCCCACGGCCCTGTTCCGGAACACTAAGGCAGCTGGGGCAGCCATTGGTGGTGTCAAGAACATGCTCTTGGAGTGGTGCCGAGCCATGACAAAAAAATACGAGGTGGGCATGGGACAGAGCTGCATGGGTGAGGCAGGGGTCCAGGGAGGGTTCGAGTGGTGCAAACCCCAAAGGGCGGGACGGTTGGAAGGGGGCCAAGTCCAGGCCATCTGGCTGAGGCTCACTGAGGCCTCCCCTGTGCCCTGCCTGCCACAGCACGTGGACATCCAGAACTTCTCCTCCAGCTGGAGCAGTGGCATGGCCTTCTGTGCCCTCATCCACAAGTTCTTCCCTGACGCCTTTGACTACGCAGAGCTGGACCCCACGAAGCGCCGGTACAACTTCACCCTGGCCTTCTCCACAGCCGAGTAAGCCTCAGCCATGGGCTGGCAGAGCTGGATGGGATCCTAGGCGAGGACTGGATTCACAGGGGTTGAGTAGTGGGCAGTTACACTGATGCTGGTGCCACACATTCATATACCCAACAGACATTTTTTGAGGGCCAGGCACTGTTTCAGGCTCTGGGGATACAGCAGTGGGTGAAACAGACAAAAATCTCTGCTTGGGTCAAGCGCAGTGGCTTACTTGTATAATCCCAGCACTTTGGGAGGCCGAGGCAGGAGAATCGCTTGAGGCCAGGAGTTCAAGACCAGCCGGGGCAACATAGCGAGACCCCCATCTCTACAAAAAATCAAAGAATTAGCTGGGCATGGTGGTGGATACCTGTGGTCCCAGCTGCTCCGGAGGCTGAGATGGGAGGATCACTTGGGCTCAGGAAGGCAAGGCTGCAGTGAGCCATGATTGAGTCACTGCACTCTAGCTTGGGTGACAGAGCAAGACCTTGTCTCAAAACAAAACAAAACAAAACAAAAAAACTACAATTTTAAAAAATGAAAGGGAAACTCACAGTATGGATTTACAACTCTAAGTGAATATCAGAAGGGCAGGCAGCTCTGCTCTGACCAAGTGCTCCTGAACCGCGCGGGCTGTGAACCACTGTCCTGCTCCTGCAGCTGCCTGGACTCTGCTTCTGAGCCAGGCAGAGCCACTGGAAGGTGGGAGGAGTCATCAGATGACAATGACAGGCCGACAGGAGGCATCAGGCAGCTGAAAGCCCAGGAGGTCGTGTGGATGTGTGGAGAAGGAGGGAGGAGAATAGAAGCGGAGGTGCCTGGGTTTGAATCCCGCCTCCTCCTCCCCAGCTCTGTGACTCTGGCCAGCTCTCTTAGCCTCTCTAGAGGCCCCACATCACAGGGCTTGCTGTAAAGATTCAGTGTGAAGAGGAAACAGTGTCTGCCACAGCCATCACACCCCACTGCCTGTTCCAGAACTCTCCTCCGATTCCCGTGGAGTCCGGGCATGAGGGGAGGGAGTGGCCAATGCTGAAGCCCCCAGTGGCGGAGCCCTTCCCCACCCACGCCCCCGGCTCAGTGGGAATGAAGGTTTTGCCTCTCCCACACAGAGGGACAGCATCCGAACCCACAACCATGGGCCACTGCATTGGCTGCAGGGAGTTTGTCCCATTCTCCAAAATCCTCCAGTGTGTGTCCTTCCCACGGCTCCCAGTCCAGCGTGGATTTCGGCCCTGCAGTCTCAGCCCCAAGGGAGGATTTCCACTGGGGCCCTGGTTTCTCCTATGCCAGCACCTATGGCTGGCTTTGGTAGGCAGGGACTGCTGAGACCCAGCTTCACAGTAAGGATGCCAGAGGTGTCAGACAGGCCCCCGGGGTTGTGTTGCTCACTTTGGCCTTGGGCAAACCACCGAAACACTCTGAGTCTCCGCTTCCTCTTCTGCTGGCTGAGGATGGAGGGAAGGAGTCTATGAGAACGTCCAAGGGGAAGCGTCTGATAAAGCATGAGATTGGCGTGAGGCCTCAACACTGATTAGCTCAGATTATCGGACTCAGCAAAGCCAGTGGTGTCACAGAGCCCCAAAGGGCAGCTGCGAAGTTAGAAAAAGGGGACTTGTTGCCAAGTGCCAGCAGCTCCTGAAACACACCAAGCATTCCTGCCTCGGGGCCCCTGCACCTGCTGTTTCCTTTGCCTGGACTCCCTTCCCCAGATGTGCATATGACTTACTCTAAGAGGCCTACCCTGAGCACCCTATTAAAAAATACCACAGCTGGGTGCGGTGGCTCACACCTGTAATCCCAGCACTTCAGGAGGCCAAGGCGTGTGGATCACTTGAGGTCAGGAGTTTGAGATCAGCCTGGCCAACATGGTGAAACCTTGTCTCTACTAAAAATACAAAAATTTGCCGGGCGTGGTGGCACACACCTGTAATCCCAGCTACTTGGGAGGCTGAGGCAGGAGAATCACTTGAACCCAGGAAGCAGAGGTTGCAGTGAGCCGAAATCTCCCCACTGCACTCCAGCCTGGGCAACAGAGCAAGACTCCATCTGAAAAATAAATAAATACATTAAAAATAAATAAAAAATACCAGATCTCCTCCAACATAAGAACATACCCTGTGTCCCTTCCTGCCTTATTTTCCTCCTGAGCACCTCTCACCATCTGATGTACCACCTACTTTGTGTGTTGCTTGCTGTCTCCCGCCACAAGAATGTCCATGCCATGACAGTGTGGAAGTTTTGGTTTTATTCACTGATGAATTCCCAGAGCCTGGAAGAGGGCCTGGCACATAATACGCTCCTGATAAATACATAGAAACTGAATGAATGATGCTCCTGGAGATGCTGCAGCTGCAAGCCAGGACTCTGGCTACGATTTGGTTTCTGTCCTTTATCTTTTTTTTTTTTTCTTTTTTGAAACAGTGTCACTCTGTCGCCTAGGCTAGAGTGCAGTGGTGTGATCTCAGCTCACTGCAACCTCCGCCTCCTGGGTTTGAGTGATTCTCATGCCTCAGCCTCCCAAGTAGCTGGGATTACAGGTGCCCGCCACCATGCCCAGCTAATTTTTTTATTTTTTGTAGAGATGGAATTTCACCATGTTGGCCAGGCTGGTCTTAAACTCCTGACCTCAGGTGATCCACCTGCTTTAGCCTCCCAAAGTGCTGGGATTACAGGCATGAGCCCCCGCGCCCGGCCCCTTTAAGTTCTTCCTGAGGGGCCTGGCCTACCAGAAGCTCCCTGGTTCCAGAGAACAGATACACACGCATGTGAAAGTGGTGGGTTAATGTAGAACTAGACACCAGAGGGTCCTGCTCCCAGGTGAGGACAAGAAGCGCAATGAAAATGTGGGCTTTGGAATCAGACCCAGCTGGGTTTGAGTCTTCTATTATTTTAATTTTTGTTTTTATTTTTTTGAGAAGCTCCCATTCTCCAAAAAGGTCTCACTAGGTTGTCCAGGCTGGTCTCGAACTACTGAGCTGAAGGGATCCTCCCGCATTGGCCTCCCAAAGTGCTGGGATTACAGGTGTGAGCCACTGTGCCTGGCCTCAAACTCATTATTGAAGTATTCACTGGGGTTGGCTTTGGCGTTACCTGTCTACATCCTGTGACCTACCTATAGGAGGATCACAGCTAAAGGAAGCCACGGCACCTGGCCTGGGTTTGTCTTAACTCTGCTGTGGCCTCAGTTATCTCATCTATATAATGGGATGATTGGCTTAGATGATCTCCCAGCTCCAACATCCCAGCCCATCCTATGAGCTTCATCGTTGCTGGGCTGCCCGCACCCATCCCCTTATCCTTCACCTTTGACCTTCTGCTCCCATATCCTTCACCTTTGACCTTCTGCTCCTCATTCTACCCCATTCCTTAGGAAACTGGCTGACTGTGCTCAGCTGCTGGACGTGGATGACATGGTGCGGTTGGCTGTGCCCGACTCCAAGTGCGTCTACACCTACATCCAGGAACTATACCGCAGCCTCGTGCAGAAAGGACTGGTGAAGACCAAGAAGAAATGAGGAGGTGACTGGCTCTGTGGGCAGAGATGGGCAGGGTGCCCAGCTCACCAGCTGTGGCCTGGGGGCTCCCTTCTGCTCGATGGAGGCACCAGAGCCAGGGGCTCAGGCAAGGGCATGTGGCGTTGGTTTTAACCGCATTAAAAGTACTTTTGTAAAATCCTCTCTGGCCCCTCAGTGCCTGCTCCATACTTGGCCCAGGAACGTCTGCACTCTGGGATGATAAACTCTGGACACAGGGGTTTCCTCACCTGCTGAGGTATCAATAACTATGCAAGGTGTCTGGGAAAGGACAATGGCCTGGGTCTCACCACTAACCAGCTGTGTGACACTGGGCCATACAGTTAACCTCTCTGGGCCTCAGTTTACAGGCTGAAAGGGGATAATGGGAGTTGCAACCTTATGAAGGTGTTGCGAGAGTCAAATGAGATAATGAAAAGGGCAAAAAGCTTTGCCCAGTCCTGCCACTCAAGTGTTCAGTAAGTGGTCGCCAAAAATAAAAAACAAACTTACATTTTGACTCTGGTGGCACTTCTTCTGGTTATATTCCCCTCTTTCCACGCTTCTCAGGTAAGGGCACTCCAGGGCAAGAGCTGAAGAAGAGTCTCTAGAAACAAGTGGGATCTGGTTGACTTCCTTGACTCAAATCACCCCATATTCTGTCTCTGAAAAGCCAGCAGTATTCCAGGAGCTTACAACAATTGCAACCAGAAAGTTCTTCCTCTGGGTGAAGTTAATCCCTCTATCTGGCTGAAGTTTTGGCTTGTTTTTGCTTTTCCATTGCTCATGAGATACAAACCCCTGAGCTGATTACAATTTCCTGCTAACTATCCAGTCTGGTTTTATCAGCCATTTGGGGCATATGTGCTGATAAAAGCAGCTCATGAAAAATACAGAAAACAAAACACATCCCAGCCACAACCCTGGCTCACCTGCAGGGGTGTGGATTGGCAGAGTGGACCCCAGCAATCCACTGAAGTGCTCTGTGCCTCAATTGCCTCATCTTTAAAATGGGGATGTTGGCTGGGCGTGGTGGTTCACACCTGTAATCCCAGCACTTCGGGAGGCCAAGACAGGTGGATCACCTGAGGTCAGGAGTTCGAGACCAGCCTGGCCAATATGGTGAAACCCCGTCTTTACTAAAATTACAAAAATTAGCCAGTCGTGGTGGCGGGCATCTGTAATCCCAGCTACTCAAGAGACTGAGGCAGGAGAATCGCTTGAATTCAGGAGGCGGAGGTTGCAGTGAGCCGAGATCACACTGCTGCACTCTAGCCTGGGTGACGGAGTGAGACTCTCTCTCAAATAAAAAAAATGAAATGGGGACGTCATCCCTGTGTACCTTCTGAAAGCACCTCTGTCCAAGGATGGCCTATTTTCCATAGCCAACATTCCTTTTGATGTTTGGGGAACATCCAGGGGAAGCAGGGTCAAAAATTTATGCTTAAATCCCTAGTCCTCTCTGGTCCTGATGAAACTACCCCATCGCCTCATCAAAGACTCAGCTGCACTCCAGAATTCATCTCTGACTTTAATGGCTGAAGCAAGAACATGGTTTCTGTGGCTCCCCCTGGACTGGATGCTGGAGGACACACACTTCACAGTCTGAGGCCTGGTCCCAGGAACTGACAATCTAACAGGATGGCAAGTGGTTTTGAAACATACAGATTTTCAGGATGGAAGTTTGATTTTTCAGATTGTGACTCATCCGTGGAAAATAAACGGTTTAGCACCTAAATCTGTAGATTCCCATCAGTGGCTTTGCTGACTCAGGTATAAATAGGGTACCCTCCATATGTCTCCCACCCATACGCTCCACTGTCCCCAGGCCCTCAGTGCCTGAGCCCTAGGGGGATTCGAGTTGGCTGCTGGGCTCATTTCCTGCAAGCGGGCGGGCGAGATGACCTGTCTCTCTAAGATGGAGAGCTGGAGGACTGGCCTGTAACTCTGCAAACTTAAACTCCCTTGGCTCTGGGGGATGCAAAGGCTGTGGGAAGGGTGTACCTGTGGCCAGGTGAACCCGGGAGGGAGTCCACACACAACACACACACTCACAGCTCCCTTCCCTCTACCCCCCCCACACAAACGAATGACTAACAACCTAAGAAAGAAAAAATGAGTGGGGAATGGGCCATAGGGGGCTCTGGCCTCAGTCCATGAGGTGTGTCTGTCCACCATGCCAAGGATCCAGTGCACAGAGGGTCAGAACATGAGTTAGGAGGGCCGGTCCACTCCATATTGGAGGGTGAACTCTTCAGCATTCTTTCTGAACAGCTCCGGATTCTCTGTCAGCAGGTCAGCGAGGTCCACCCGCAGGGGCTCCCTGATATTCGGTCTATTCACCAGCACATTCAGGGCCTCCAGGACTGGGGAGAGACAGGCCAGGACATCAGGGCAGAGGGAAGGGGGTCACGGCTGCCCACTCCCAATGCCTTGACACTCCACACCCACTCCTTGGAGGAAAGGTTCCATCTCTTAGGATGACGCTATGACCGGATCAAACACCCCGCTCATTCTTGGTTGGTGACACCCAAGACCTTGACTGATGACATCAGTGGTTTTCAAACAACTACATTCCATGGCTTCAGAGAAGCTCTTCATCATGGGAGCCACTGAAATAAGTGAGGTTTCTGGGTCTTATCCCCATTTCAACAAAAACTACTCTGTTTTCCTCCATTATATTGATAGTCCAAATAAACTTTTCCTTGGGCAAAAGGGGTCTAAGGCTAAAGACTGAAAACCACCATGGCCCCCTGGCTCTTCATCTTTCACAGATGCCTTTGGGAACCTGGTGAAGGTAGCAGCCCATCGCCTGAGACAGACGCACACTCCACGTGCAAAACAGATAGTTCCCAGACCCCTTGAAGCTCATCCAAGGACCACTCCTCTCCCTGCTCCCACTCCCACCAACCAAAGGACTTTTGTTTCCTGAGTTAAAAACTCCTGAGGTGGTCCAGGTAGAGGATTGCACACTGACTCAGTCACAGGCTCTAGAGCCGCATTGTTCAATATGGTAACCATTAGCCACAGGCAGGCATCTAAATTTAAATGAATCAAAATCAGGCCGGGCACGGTGGCTCACACCTGTGATCCCAGCACTTTGGGAGGCCAAGATGGGTGGATGGCTTGAACTCATGAGTTTGAGACCAGCCTGGGCAACATAGCAAAACCTGGTCTCTACAAAACATACAAAAATGAGCCAGGTGTAGTGGCATGCTCCTGTAGTCCCAGTTACTCGGGAGGCTGAGGTGGGAGGATGGCTTGAGCCCAGGAGGCAGAGGTTGCAGTGAGTCAAGATCGCACCATTGAACTAACTGCCTGGGCAATAGAGACAGACCGTGTCTCAAAAGAAAAAAAAAAAAATTAAAATTAAGTACCATTAAGAATTGAGTTCCAGCCAGGCGCAGCGACTCACACCTGTAATCCCAGCACTCTGGGAGGCCAAGATAGGCGGATCGCCTGAGGTCAGGAGTTCGAGACCAGCCTGGCTAACATGGCAAAATCCCTCTCTACTAAAAACACAAAATTAGCTGGATGTGGTGGCACACGCCTGTAATTCCAGCTACTCGAGAAGCTGAGGCCAGAGAATCGCCTGAACCCGGGAGGCAGAGGTTGCAATGAGCCGAGATCGCACCACTGCACCCCGGCCTAGGCGACAGAGCGAGACTCCGTCTTAAAAAAGGAAAAGAACTGAGTTCCTCAGTTGCAACAGTCACATGTGGCTCGTGACTCAGCCAAGTGCTGCCGTTTGCCATCTGTATGACCTTAGGCAACCACTTCGCCTCTCACATGCCTCAAATGTCCGGGTCTATTCAACAAGGCTAACGACAACACTACCTCACGGGGTGGTGGAGGAAATGAAAATGAAGTCCGCATGTGATGTTCTCAGCACAGCGCTGAAAGTGCTCAGTCAAGTGATAGCTATTCTCATTATGAGGCCAGTTCCCTCCACTGTCATTTAGGACACCGAGTCCCAGAAAGGAACGAAAACTTGCCCAAAGTCCACAGAGGGAACAGCGGGCTTTCTTATCCTGAGCCCTTCCCTGTACAGCCAAGCTGCCTCTCTCGTGAACCACAGCAATGTTCCTCTGTCACAACTGCACAGGTACAGGAACAGAGGCAGGAGGAGGTCAGTCTGTCCAGGAAGCATCCCTTCTATCTCACAGTAAGTTCAGCCAAGACTCACAATTTTCACCTCCTCTCTTCGCGGCTTTTCAAGCTCAGAATAAGTCTGTGAAACCCCCTTCCAGTAATCTCTACCCAGTATCAGTCCCTCCTCCGGGCAAAGCCCAGCCCCACCTTGGCAAGTCTTGGTGCAAGGCTTCCAGTTCTCACTGCTGATGATGGGCAGGCAAACATATCCGCTCTCGTCCACGTTGGGGTGGTAGATCTTGGTTGTGAATTTGATCGTGGGAGGCCTGAACGGATACTCAGGCGGGAAGCTGATGCACAGGTTGAAGGCTTTGAGGTGGTAGGGAGGTTGGTCCTGTGCAGAGAGAAAAGGGGTCAAGCTCCGGTCTGGTTTTCTTCCCTTCCTGCCCCCATCCCAGGGTCCTAGGCATCCTCTGCTTCACTCCCAGGGGGACACATGAGCCAGGATACGCACAGCACCTGCATTCATTTGACAACTGAGTCATGGATTAGTGAAAATGTGAAATCACCAAAGGGCACTGGCCTGGGAGGCAGAGAAGTCTGATCCAGGCTTTTGCTGTGTGACCACGGTTGAGCCACTTCCCACCTCTAGGCCTCAGTTTCCTCATTTGTAAAGTGGAGAAAGATGGACTAGATGAGCTCTAAGGACCATCTCAGCTTTCATGGGTTTCTGAGATTATGGAAGAAAAGGATGGAACATCCTTTCTTAGAACATTAGAATGGGGGTGAGGAAATGGAGAAAATGAGGAAATCCTAAGAACTCAGGAACTTAGGAAAATACAAAGGTGCAGCTGCAGTGGAAAACAGTATGGCCATTTCTCCAAAGATTAGACACTGAATTACCATATGATCCAGCAGTTCTACTTCTGGGTAGATACCCAAAGAACTGAAAACAAACAGGTATTTGTATACCAATGTTTCTAGCAGCCAAAAGGTGAAAGCAAACCAAGTGGATCAATCAACAAAACGTGGCGTATACACACAATGGAGTATTATTTAGCCTTAAAAGGAAAGAAATTCTGATATATGCTACACTCTGGATGAATCTTGAAGACACTATGCTAAGGGAAATAAGCTAGACAAAAAAGGACAGATATTGCAAGATACCACTGAAGTACAGCACCTAGAATAGTCAAATTCATAGAAACGAAATAGTAAAGCGGTCACCAGGTGCTGGGGAAAGAAAGGAATGGGGAGTTACTGAAGGGGTACAGAGTTTCAGTACAGGTGGACAAAAAGTTCTAGAGATGAACGATGGTGATGGTTGTGCAACCATGGTTGTTTGTTTGTTTCCTGAAGCAGGGTCTCGCTCTGTCATCCAGGCTGGAGTGCAGTGGCATTATCATTGCTCACTGTAATCTCAAACTTCTGGGCTCCAGTGATCCTCCCACCTCAGCCTCCTGAGTAGCTGGTACTACAGGAGCCCACCACTAAGCCTGGATAATTTAAAAAAATTTTTTGATAGGGTCTCACTATGTTGCCAGGGCTGGTCTTGAACTCCTGGCCTCAAGCGATCCTTCCACCTTGGCCTCCCAAAGTGCTGGAATGACAGGCATGAGCCACCATGCCCAGCTGTAATCCTATTTAATGACACTGAACTGTATACTTAAAAACGGTTAAGATAGTAAATTGTGTTATATGTATTTTACCATAATTAAACACAGACAAACTCAGGGGCTGGAGTGACCGAGGGGTTGGGAGCTGCAAGGAGCCAAGAGAAGACCCTCTAGACTTTGAGCGACCTGAACACTTTTCTGAGCGCCTATCTGTGCTGTCCTGTGCTAAGGACTTGACATGCATTAGCCTGGGCAACAGAGTATGCGGGTCACACAGACTCCAGAGCCACCATGCCTGGGTGTGACTCAGCTCTGACACTCACTAGCAATGTGATCTTGAGCAAGTAACTTCACCTCTCCATGCTTCCATATGACAATAATAATAAACTTCTTCATAAGGCATATGTGAGGATGAGATGATTTAATTTATGCCAAGGATTTAGAACAGCGCCTGGCACATGGCAAGTACTACATATGTGTCAGTTACTACAATAGGTATAAAAACTCACAATTATTAGCGTCTCTATTTACAGAGGAGAAAACTCAAGTTCAGTGTATGTAAGTAACTCACCTAGGACCACAGCAGCCTTGCAGGGATGGGAACCCGGCACTGTCAACCCTACACCTTTACACAAGATGACTACTCACAGCCCTAGGAGGGAGAAACCCCAGAACCTGGGTGACCCCAGTGCAGAACAAAGGGGCCTTCCAGTTGGTTCCAAATTACCAAATCTTTTCAGAGCCTTTGTTATTGAAAAGACAGAGCAAAGACAGCAAGAATGGCATATGTGGTTAAGCAGAGAGTCAAGATTTTCAGAGCTCCTCCTCCTTAATAGGCAAAACAGAAATCATGGTGACCTCGAGCGCACTGAGATGAGAGATGGAGTAACTAGGCCGGGCGCGGTGGCTCATGCCTGTAATCCCAGCACTTTGGGAGTGCAAGGTGGGTGGATCACCTGAGGTCGGGAGTTCGAGACCAGCCTGACCAACATGGAGAAACCCTGTCTCTACTAAAAATACAAAATTAGCTGCACATGGTGGCGTGTGCCTATAATACCCGCTACATGGGGAGGTGGAGGCAGGAACCGAGAAGTGGAAGTTGAACCTGGGAGGCCGACGTTGTGAGCAGAGATCACAGCCCTGCACTCCAGCCTGGGCAATAAGAGCAAAACTCCATCTCAAAAAAAAAAAGATAGAGTATAAAAGAGTAGGAAGATAAAGAGAAAATATCTCACCTTTTATGGTCTCAAGAAGAAAAGGCTGGGCCTATCAGTCAGAGAAGGCCTATGGCTGAGGCCTCAGAGCAGGATGGGAGGGTGCTGTGGTTGGATGTTTGTCTCCTCAAATCTCAGGTTGAAATTTTATCCCCAAGACCG